ATATATATATATATGTGATAGGATCCGTTGCAGATCCGCAAAATGGGCTGATGTACCTGCAGCAACGTTATGGAATACTCCCCCCCCCCCAGGGAGCTTGAGTTCATGTTCCATAGGCGTTTAATCCACTGACCGGGGTAATGATAATGTGAAGTGCATAGAGGGCTTAACAATATGCACTAAATAAGTCTACCATTATTATTATTATTAGATGGTGGGTCGAGCCATTATAATTATGGCACTCTCAGGCTTCAATTTGAATATAGTTTGCTTTTTCATTATTTCGAAGAAATTAAGGGGGGGGGGGCAGGCCGGCTGAGCCACCTCCCCTTGAATCCACCACTGACGATTACTGATAAACAAAAAAAGTAAAAAGGTAAAATGAAAGAGTTAAATATGGGTAAATATCTGATAATGCTAAGCCTTGTCAAGACTATTAAATTATATTTGATAGTCATCATGCCTAAATATGGTCACGATGACATCACATCATGACTATATATGGGCATACAACAGTTTTTGTCAAATGTGGATACTATTTACAACAAAAGGGTTTCTAGTTCTGCTGAGTGTAGCTTTAGGGGGATATACTGTAGCCTTATACCAGATTTAGGTTTATTTCAAATGTGTGTAACACTTATAGAGAGGATGGCTAGGAGTCCTTTATAACAAAAAACAAAAGATGAAAACATGTCCAGAATAGCCATCACCCTTAACCTCAATACTACAATGGAACAGCTAATAAATTACGAGCTGATAAAACCAATAACAACATATAAATATTCAAAGAAAAAAATAAAAACATCATCAACCACCTAATATTTAGCGATATAAAAACAATAATAAAAAGTTGTGCAGCAACGAATATTACTGAATTATTAAAGTTTTAACTTTTATTAATTTACAGCAACAATATACAAAGAAAAAGTATGAATACAAGAGAAACATCATCATAGGATAAAACAAGCTATTATTTAACAATTAAAAAAAAACGTATAATTATTAAATGAATACTACCCACATATTCGAATTGTACATTAAATTGTGTTGCTAATGTTTTGTGCTTATTATAATTAGTTGTACAGGTCTCCCTATAATTAGGGATTCCTCCAATTAAAAACCACCATTCTGCAGTCCTAAAACATATTTAGTCCAAACAGCTGTACGATTTGACCAAGGGTAGATTTTATCAGGGGTGGCGCCAGCACAATTTGTCGGCGAGAAAAAAGAAGTATGTATTTTCTACATCTTAATAAACTCTAAAGTCGATTAAATAAGCCTTTGAAATTCCTAAATTGTCAAAATTTTCGAGAGCTTCGCCCCCTGGACAGCTTTCGAAACTTTTAATCGAAGCTCGAGCACGCCAAATTTGCTTTCGTCTACGAAATCTGAACCCTCATCGGGGCATCCTCCCCCTCGTCGGGACATCGGTCACCCAAACCCACCCTGATGGCTGATGCGTGACACTTGGTAGTTAATGGACAAACAGTTAATACAGTATTTCCAGGGTAATATGTTGTACTTGGAAATTACTAAGGCATAATTTTTTATTCATATTCAGTTGGCATCATATACTTACTATTTATTCATTTTGTTGTTTAGGTCTTATTATCTCCACTCCTACCGGTAGTACAGCTTACGCGGCAGCAGCAGGGGCATCCATGATACACCCCAATGTTCCAACAATTATGATCACACCAATTTGTCCCCACTCGCTCTCATTTCGACCAATCATCATTCCAGCGGGAGTTGAGCTTAAGGTATGATAATTATAATGATGTTATTGATTATTGTTTTTTTAAGCACTTGAGTCGAGTGGTAGAGTAGTAAGGTAGTGGCGCCGCTAACTACAGCCTTAACATCGGCGTTAATTAGTTGAGTTGTTTAAACTAAAGCCAATGTAATTTCTTAATTGCTTTCAATGCAGAATCTCACACTTTCTTAAAATTTAACGACCGTGCATAACCAGTGCCTTTCCACATCATGGATGATGATACTATTGGCAGGCAAGTGCCTTCTGCGATGTTATGCAAATCTCTTAATGGGCTGGCATACTGCCATAGAAGGGCATCAAACATATAGGGCAGCTTGTTTCGGTCCATAATTTCTTTTCACAATGATCCACTTTGCATATGGTTTCTACAATCTTTTTTTTTTTCTTTTTTTGTTGCTTTTACTACCTAACAACTTGAGAACTGCATCAATTTATAAAGTTAGTTTTTTTTATATTGTATACCTATATCTTGAGTTATATTTCAACAATTGCTTTGATCTTTTCTTGAAAAGCAATAATTTGTGTTCTAAGATGCTTCAATTTTTAATTTTTTGTGCATGTATAATTAGATATGATATGTACAGAAAAAAATTGAAATACTTTATACTCGATGTTTGGCACAACCGTACGAAGTATTGCATTTTTAGTTGCTGGTGAGAATTACTTTTATTGTCGGAGAATGTCGATTAAATTATAAAATAATTTAATGTTTTGTTATTTATAGTTCTATTTATAATGAAATTCTTTTGGTTATTTTTTCCATATTAGATTATGGTACCTCCTGATGCCCGACACACAGCCTGGGTGTCACACGATGGAAGAAACAGGCAAGAAATCCACAAAGGATATGCGTAAGTCTACTCATTTGGTTGATCAATCATTTTTTTAACTTTATTTTTGAAGACCTTTAGTTGATGGTTAAAAATTAAATGTTGTTTTCTCAAATAGAAAGATGGTTCTGACAAATGAGTTAATAAACTATAATTTCCTTACAAGGATTATGATAAATAAAATGAATAGATTAAAATAATAAAAATATTACAGTATATGAATTTTTATTTAATTTTTTTCTATGCTATCAAAGAATATGAATTAAATTATAAAATGGTTTTAATATTTTGATCCATGTATGAAAATTTTAATGGAACTTTTTTATGTGTTTATGTATTTTGATGAATTCTATATAGGTGTTACAAGTCAAGAAAAGAAATTTTTGTGTTGAACAATAAATCTAAATCTATCATGCTTTTATTTCGGACTACTTTGTGGTTTTAGTGCATACCACTTCTGTTTTTGCAGTAGGCCAATTTATTGCCGTTTTGACTTTAAACCATTCAGTCGTACACCACAAATGAGCACAGATTTCTTACTTATTTCATTAGTGTCCACATCACAACGTCGATCTATCCAGTAGCATGCGTGTGTCGGCGGGATCAGATCTCTGATTGGTTTGACAGTCTGGGTGAGTGCCTGCATTGGAACATACGACAACGCCAAAAGGCTATGACTACAACATGTGCAATCAAGAATGGAGAACCGGAAAAAATTGAGAAGGAATAGGATACAGGATACACTAATTATTTCAACTTTTATCTCAGGATTATGTCGAGCTAACAATATTACGTTATAAGAACATTATAATAATGTTACAGTTTGGTGTTGAAAATCTTATTTTGTAGAGCCAATACATACTACGTTTTAACGTTTGAACGTTCCTGCAACGCTGTGTAAATATTATGTGACTGCCTAACCACAACGTTCGCAAATGTTACAAGAACGTTGTGTGATTGCAGGGCATGCATAAATTTAATAAGCTCTCTGTTAATCAGATCAAAGTTCTTATGAATTTATCTGCAGCCGTAGATATATCTTTGAAGATTCATACCTTAATTTTTTGTATCATGTAATTTTGTAGAGAAACTATTAGAAAAATGTGAATTTTTAGTTTACCATCTAAATCAGTACATAGAGGGCAGGCTTCATGTGGTACAATCATTTACCCTTGCAGGTCTTAATTATCATTATTATCCTCTTGCAAAAAAAATTATGGTTGTGTTGCCCAATTGGAAAATAGATCATTAGTCACACCTTGGACTTTGGTTGGGTAAAATCTGATGAAGTTATTACCAATTATAGCTTGAAAAATGGTCTTTAAAATAAAAAAAAAATTGTTACTATAATAAATGTTCTTAGATTTTCAAGAATTTAGGATAACATAAAAACTTACTTTAGTGTACGCCCCTTTGACAACATCCTACATGTGTGCTGATGAGTATGTGGAATTACTTCCTCTATAATGCTAGTATGAATAAAACAGCTAAAACATGTACCACCCAAAGTAAGGAATCGTTCCTTATGGACCAAATAACATATATATACCTCAAGCGCAAACCATTCCTGCTTCCCAACACACTTCCGTGGTGGATATGTTTTGGTTTGTGCTTCAAATTTTTCAGAATACTTGACTTAGCAGTTTTTAGATATAGGGGTCCAAGTTAAAGTTAATTTAATGGCAGACTTCTCAAGTACTACGGAACTGCCGTAGTTAGGCCTAGTTGCCTAATTATGAACGTACGGAAATAGACAAAAATACTGCGGAAATTTATCATAGGCCTAGACCCATAAATAAAATATGTCTAGAACAATGATTTTTCCATTAGGTCTTAGGCCCCTAGACAACTCATACTTGTCAAATTACTGATAAATTATTGTTAAAACTAAGGAAAAGTGGCCGTAAATCTTCATTCTGTCCCGTTTGTTTGAAATTCTGCATCGAAATACAGACAATCAGGCCCAAAGACGATCTGGCCCAGGATGATCAGACTCCAATTTCAAGACGATTGGACCCATTTTGAAAGTGGGCCCAATTGTCCTGGAATGTGACCCATACAGTAAATCTTCATCCTGTCCAGCTTGTTTGAAATTCCACAGCTGAAAATTTTACATTTACTACGGAAATTTGAAGACATAGTTATGGAAATGCATTTATACGAACTTCAGAAGTCTGCAAAGCAGTGTTCTAGAAGAAGGGTCATTCATGCCTTAGTTCCTGTGTGTACTTAAAAAATCCTTTTGGTACAGTTATTGAAAATAAATGATGGCATCGTCTTCTGCATTACAGGCCATTGCAACTAGATTATAGCATGGAGAGATTAATATATATTTCCTCCATTATTATAGGCATGTACGGACGATATTTAGAGGTAAAACAGTAATACACAAATGTCACTTGAGACTGCATTCACACTTTGTTCACCCAGGGCAAATGTGTTTATTTTTAATACTTTGTTGAAGTTAGTAGTTAAAGCTTAGAAGTAGCTATTTAAGTTTTCCTTAAGTTATAATGGCCACTGTGTCATCATCTCGCAATGGTACCTTTACAAAATTTCTCAAAATTGCAAACAAATATGAAAACTTATTTGTAGATTGTAATCTGTAATGGATGTGAAGTTGTAGCAGGAATTGACATAAAAATGGGTTGGAGGGCCAAAGTGAATTTTGGGTTTAACAGCAAGGGCCACACGAAAACTTTGATGTTTTCAATGTGCTTCCAACTACCTTCATGCACTGCTTTCATACCGCTTCATGCTCAGTTTTAATATTACTTTTTGGTAATTGGTGTGGGGCTGAAAAAAAAAAATACAAATGTGTTTTCTAGCCAAAGATGGTTGGTGGATTTTAATTCATTTTCTCGGGCTGCAAAAAAATTGTCGGCCCAGTGCAGACTTAAATATTCTAAAGTAAATTTTTTACTGAACAAAACATAACTGAACAAAGGGCATTACAGAAGATGAGGAGTAGACTGCTATTTCAGGGCTAATAATTAGCCTCCTTTGAACATGCCTACTTGGTGTAACCAGGGAAGGGGAATCCACTACCTCCTGATATAACTGGTCCGGGGTAGTCTGTACTACAGAGAACTAGGGAAAAATAGGCCTGGACAATTTTTCATGAATCATTTTCTGATGCCGTTCCTTCCTTTATTATATGATGCTTTTCTCAATACTATTTATAAATTTTAAAATATGATGCTATATTTTTAGTACTTGCAATATCAATTATAATTTCATAGGTATTTTTTCATCTTAGCTTTTTATTTCACTTTACTTGACAGCACTTGATGGTATTGTAGATGGCAAGTAAACACAGTTCTCCTTCAAATTAAAAACCACCTCCAATTAATGACCACTTTTCTGTGGCCCTAGATGAACACAAATCTTTTATCTTTATAATAATTATTTTTTCTAATTTAAGACCAAAGCTGCTAAAGACCATGAAAACCTTGTCCCTAAAACCGGGCACTCAAAGTTGTTGACCGAAACGATTTTATGGAGAACACCATGATACGCGTGGATTACTTTTAAAGGCGATCCCTTAAGACTGCCAACGACAGCAGACAGCGTTGCATCGTTTGGTGCTTACAGGGAGCGGAGATGAGTTTGTCTCGTTTTCCTGGCTTAAGGTGGTTTTTAATTGGAGGAAGACCTGTAGGTTTATCAAAATTTAGTAGAGTACCGTATTCATGATGTTTAAAAAATGCAATTCAAGACCAAAATGACTCAACCTGGATAACCAATGTACAATAGATATGCTTTATAGGGTGCTATTACAAGGATTAATTAATAAAATTAAATAATGTTGATCCTAACGCATCGCAAATGGAACCACAACTGGACGAAGGGATCCCAAGCTCTACTTTCTGTATCGAGCAAACCAATTGAAAATAAAATTTTATATTTATATAATAGTTATATATTAAATATAAACTTAATTAAACTTTTAATTAAATATTTAAAAAATGTTGCTTATCAAAGGACGTAATACTATTTTTTTTTTTTAGTCTTATGCATAGGCCCTTAAATTTGCTGGTAACCAACTTAAGGATCAATTTAAATTAAAGTGAAATCCTATTTGCTTTTTGACTTGTGTTCATAGTATAGTTAATAACATTCAACCTTTCAAATGTGCAATTTAATTTTTTTTTAATTGAATTGTTTAGGTTTTTGTAAATAGATTACATCACTGACCAAGGACTGAATAAGGTTATTGAACAGATAGTGAACCTTTGAATATAATAACAAAAATATGAAAAATTATTGTCATTATTACAGATCTTCCTCTATTTAAAGACCCCTTCACCACCTCCAATTAGAGGTCCCTTGCTGTGGCTTTGGATTAACAATATCTTTTTCTCTATAGCCTCATAATTATTTTTCCAAAAAGTTGCTGATGACAATGGAAAATCTGGTTCAAAATGTGGTCTTTAATTGGAGAAAAATCTGGTCAAAAATGTGGTCTTTAATTGGAGGGAAAATCTGTGTTTTGTTATACAAGATACAAGGCAATTTTATTGTCTGAAAAAATCAGAAATTAGTTATTATAAGAAATTGTGTGTAGATGATGAGTGAATTATTTTTAATGTTGCGTTCCATTGCACGTGTGATAACCGTGAACACTACCCTTGAATCATAACATTAAAATGTGTTCCAATGTTGATTTATTAACACGCATGTTGTTAGTAAGTACTGTATTCCAATTTCAGGTGTGCAACATTAATGCACATATGGCCTAATAAATTCACTGCTACTAACTAAAGTTACCGATTATAAACAATGAATATTTTAATCAACCTATAGTTTTAAATGTGTACATTACATTCTTACAATTTTGTAATTGTTTAAAGTTAAATAATGTAAAGTTCCCCCATATTGCTCAATTATGACATAAATATTTGCAACGACTTATTTCTTGTGCGTCTTTAAAGCCATCGCTCGGAGGAAGAAAAAAAAAGTGATATGTTGTAAATATTTTTGTAAGACACAAATGGGTGTTTGATGGAAAATATTTTGAATATTTAAAAACTGGGCAAAAGGGCGGTTATGCCCCTTTCCACCCAGTTTTTAAATAGTCGAAAATCTGTATCTTAATAACTGTTCTCGAGTTTTTTGTCAAACACCGCTTTTGTCAGGATATAAACAAACCCTTTTCCTCTGGAGCCTGGCTTTAAAATCATCGACAAGTTTTAATCATCGGTAGACCGACCTTTGGAACGCTTTTGCTTACTGTGTTCGCGGGTGCACTGGAACACAACTTCTTGACAAGAGTGTATTCCTAGCAATTAACAATATCAACGTAGGCTTTTAGTCAGAAATATATAATATTCAACGTTGCTTCAGTCTGTAAACTGACAGTATTATTTTAGTTTTAAGGCCTGTTTATACTTGCAACGATAACGCTAAAAAGAAATTGTTCACATAATAAATAAAAGATATGAGAAGTTTTTACACAAGGACCGTCGATAACGATTCAAATGAAATCAATTCAAATACGTCGTAATCATGGAAAAATGATAAAATCATAGCAGTAGTAACAACGATTTTATAGTTTTTCCATGATTATGACAAATTGATTTGTTAAAACATTTGTAATATACATGATAAATCGTTAACGATTCGTCCTAGTGTAAAAACTTCTCTTATATCCTTTATTTGTTATATAAACAATTGCTTTTAGCTTTTTATCGTATCATTGCAAGTATAAGCAGGCCTTTACTCTGGAATTAGTGGATAATAAATTAAAGCACTGTACATAATAGTTCTTATACCAAGGCAAATATTAGCCTATGTAAAATAAGTGTCAAAAAATATTATATATACTTTTTTATACATTTGTATCTAATAAAAGGAGTAAACAGTTGGTTTTGAGCACTGTTGGTATCCTATTGGGTTTTACAATTATCGATATGTGGTATTGTTGATGATAACGATAATGTTGCTGATTGATTATTAGAATATTGATGGTAGTCGTATTATGCTGGAACTGAAATTTTTGTGCACAAATGTCCACCGAATGGTGGATTTTAATGACAAATCATTATAAACAGTGAGCTAAAATTTTTTTTTTCTGATATTGTTCATAAATTTTAGCCAAACAATTTCACCCCGAATTAAGACATTTCAAAATAACTGTTGGGGGACGAAACAAAGCAATATGATTTTTCGCTTTTGCATAGCAGCAGCATAAGAGAATGGAAATGGACTTGCATAGCGCCTTACCCAATTAAAAATCGTCGCTTAAGAATATGAAAAAGAGAAACTCATGAACTATCCTCAAACTATCAGAAGCAATCATCAAAGAATCAAAATTAAAAACAAACCAGTAACACCGTTCTCCAGAAATTTGAGACACATGGACAGGTGGTCTAGTAATACTGGCAACTTATCTAACCTATCTTCCGTTAAGTACAGGCCATGGTACTTGTAGAGCCTATCCTGTAGAAAGTGGTGGTTAAGTTGTATTTAAAGAGAAACTTGTGTTTTTTTGGGCTATAAAAAAGTATGAAAATATTTAATGTTTGTAGTTGGCTTAAAAGCTATATTAATTTTACATTTATTCCATTTTCGATATTGTTTTTCCAAACCACAGAATTACTCGATGTGATACTTCACTGCTAGGATTACAGGCATAACTCGTTAAAACAATACAATCAGGAATTATGTCTATTTCAATCAAAATGGCTGCCAGATAAGTGTCACAGCAGAATGAAAAACACTGATGAGATTCATTGTTGTTTTTCGTCGTAGCTGTCCAAAATAGCTAGTAGTCTAAATTGATTGCAATAATTAATGACAATAACTTCATTATTTTGTTTCATTTATTCCACCAAATAGGCGGTACTGTACTGTACATAATCAAACAAGGGAAGGCAGAGGTCAGGACGAGTTAAAGCAAAAGTATCATGGGTTTTTGATCGCGATGTCACCTTGATAATGCTCATTGTGTACGTTTAAATTCTTTTTGTTTTTTCGTGGTGGCGAGAGGGGTTATATTTTTCAATCAAAATAGGAAGGAATGAAAATAGTGCTGCCAATTCTAGATGACGAAACGTACCATAATATAATATATCGCTAATATTAAACACAAACCGCACCGTAGTTATTATAATATACATTATTCTGAAATTTACTTGCAATAATTGTTTCATCCTTTTTACAAACTGATTTGTAATATTTGAGAAATTCTTGATATGTTCATATTTCATAATTATTGAGAATAGTTCAAAACATGTTCAAATATTAGAAACAAACAAAAAAATCTCCCATTTAAATTTCTGTTTAGTGATTTCCGTCCCCCACTTAAAATCAGCGAGGAATTTGTATTGAAACTGAGGTAAATAATTAGTCCTCATGTGCTTTTTGGGTTTTTAAATAATGAATCTGTGACGCTTAAAAAGAACACACTTCACGAGTGAGCATTCTTCAGGTTCATTATTTCCGTGGAGTATTCAGAACAACAAAATCAAAACAAACCAAACCAAACCAAAAAATATTAAATGTAATGAATTCATGATTAATTAGTTAACTATGATCAAGAACATTAAGACTATAAGTAATAGCAGCATTATTAATCTCATCAACACATTATTCTCTACTATTTTAATTAAAACAATCGATTCACTCGTGTAACCAATTCATTCAAATGCATTTAAATTAAAATATAATTGTTGATTTACTATCAACATAGGCGACGCCATCTTGGATTACATTTTATGGGCGCCGCCATCTTGAATTGTTTGTTTATAGTACAGCGCCACCATGAGTTAAAATATAACTATCATGTAATTAGTATGAGTCATCATCTAGTTAACTAACCTTCAGCATTTGTATACAAAAAAATAGTTTTGTAGTCAGCAATGTCTTTCACTTTAAACCTCTTAAAAATATTACCAAGTATAAATTAATATACGGTAAACACTAATATATTTTATATAATAAACTTATCAAACCTAAACAATATAAACTTATAACTACATAACCTTTCAGAATGATAAAACTTCAGAGATGTGATTACTGTCCTGCTTCATTGGCGTTTGCAGCAGCAGTAATGAAACACTTAAGAAAAACTGCCTGTTTACCAGACATCCTTGATTGGCACCCTCTATTAATCCGTTAAATGAGATGATCTATTTACTTGAGGTGGTAAGAACATGGAGGTGTTATGAATGTGGGCACTGATGAGGCATTCTCCCTCATCAGGGTAAACCAATTGGGCACCCTTGTGGTTAGTGGTCATTGGGCAGTTTGATGGAAAATGTAATCTGCGAATGAAATTAGTATAAACAATGGTATGTGATAGAATGGAACTAACGCTTAAATAGGGATACTGCAAAAACACACTTACAAATCAATATTTTAAGAACATAGTTTTTCTTGTCAGGCCATCGATTTATTTTATCAGAGCATCGATTTTATTTTGATTTTATTTTTAATGCCTTGACTTCACTTGCCATACCATTGCGTTCAAGCAATTCAATGAACGCATCCTTGTTTTCTTCAGTGAGTTTGCGGGCGTGTTCTAATTCGAATATTAACACCCATTGATCTGTCCATTGGTCATCGGTAAAGCTGTGCAAGTGGCCAATGCTTTCTTTGTTATTCTTGTTTATAGCTTGACCAAATTTGATCAAACTTCGTCGATACTCCGAGATAGTAGGTTTTGTAATTTTTCTAAATCCCTTGAACTTCTCGCCTAACTTCTCCTTGATGCCTCGCTCTACACCTTCCATACCACAGAGCACAGTCAGTTCGGCGAGAAGATCAATGTTTGATGGGCCGATAAGTCCTGCACCCTCAAGTAATCGAAACAATTGGATAGGCTTCTTTTTATCTTCTATAGTGTCTATATCAATTTTTTCTGGGAAATTACAAAGCAATACTTTCAGCATTGTAACTTTCTCAAATCGTTTCCACCATTCGGCCATAGCTAAGAGCAAATTATTGAAATCTTCCGTAGATAGTTCTATAAAACACAATTGATTGAATATTAGGTAATTATTTTCGATAGCCATTGAATGTTAGAATTTTAACATTACTCTATGAATGAACAACAGTTGAAAGTATGATTTCATTCTATGTATATAAGAGTTCACCTTAATTTAATGCTAATAAAATGAGTTCTTCCTATGAAGTCGCTAGTGTGAAAATATGAATTGAATTACCCATATATTATTTTCTTTTCACTATTTTTCCAGGACCAAAATGTAATATATTTTCATAAATTGTTGTTAATGAAAATAAGGTTTATTCAAATACTACATTAATACATGCATACAATGTTTATTGTAAACAAGGTTTTCTTAAGCTGTTTTTCGTCAATCTATTAATTTTTAGTACTGTATGTATTGTGAAAAGATAAGAGAGCGGTATCTGCTTGATGTCAAGGAGTTGGCCATGCCTTTAAGTTCCTTTACTTTATAGAACCATTAAGTTTAAAGCCTCCTCGTTCACACTGCACTGAGAATTATTTAAAAAAAACAACATAACAACATAAAACAACTATCGATACTTTTACAATATAGGCCTAATATGATTGAGGACTGAATTAATATATCATGACATTGATGTAGGCCTAACGTAGGCCTAATATTTTACATTTCAGAATGTCAAATTAGGTTGTCTGGTATTATTTTGATTTCGATTTCGAATTATTAAAAAATTATATTTACTGTTAAGGTTAACAATAGAAATTTTAACGTTGGCCTATGCCTAAAACTCTGGGCGCTACATAGTATAGGGTGGAAACTGGCCAGGTGGCAATAGGCACTGGACAAGATGACAAAAACTGGGTTCCAAATGGTGTAAGATATCAAAGAACCATATAGCAACAAACCAGATACCACCAATAGGCTAAGTGGCAACAGACTAGGTATAGTAGAATGTTGTGTAGCAATATTGGCCATGATGCAACAGGTGCTTGTACATAGTAGCTCTCTAATTTCAGTGCATTATACTAACACCAAAAAAGTGTAATAGAAAATTAAAACTCAGGATATTCAGTACCTTTATGACTAATGCGAAGAAGGTCATTGATCTAGTTCCTAGTCCACATTTCAAGCGCCCTGAGCATCTTACATTAGATGGATTTGTGCGCTATATAAAACTACACTATTATTATTATTATTAGTTTATTTGTGACAGTACACAAGCTTTCGTGCACACAGTGCACTTCTTCAGGTGAATGACATTGATGTAACTGACATCGTCCAATCAGAAAACAGTTCAAAAATGATGTCACATGGATTTGAAAATGCTTTTATTGAATTCTATGGGAATGAGTAATTAATTTTGGCACACTTTGACTTCAACCTGAAGAAGTGCACTGTGTGCACGAAAGCTTGTGTCACAAATAAACTAGTCATAAAAGTACTGAATATCCTGAGTTTTATTTTCTATTATATATTAGACTAGTACGGCTCATCTATTTTTTATTTAACCAAAAAAGTAAACTTCCAGAGAAAACGCTCTTCATTTAAACATGCAATGCAGCAAGTCTAACACCAGGGGTTTATTTAAGAGCCGGCGGCCGGCGCATTCGATCGGCTACTACAATGTTTTCGCCGGCTACTTCAATCAATGCTGTAAAAATTAATACAAAAACCACCAATATAAATAGCGAAACAGGCCTGTAAAGAACATTATTTACCTACACGAAGTTAATTTGCAATAGTATGCACTCATTTTGATGTTCCTTTCTGTTGAAAGTTCGTTAAAATGTCTACCAATTTTCAGACTCCATGCTTGACTTTCATGAACTCGCGGCGTAAACAAAGTTAAAGTTCAAAGTTCGGCAGTCGCGCCTGGGTGAG